CATGCCTTTTTATAAAGTAATCATCGCCTCAGGGATGTATTTTTGGGATTTCACCCCAAATTTGGGCTAAAAATACTTAATAATGATATTAATTTCAAATAAAAAAATTATATTTTATAATATTAAATGATATTATAAATATAATTTTTTTTTATAAAAGTAATCATCGCCTCAGGGATGTATTTTTGGGATTTCACCCCAAATTTGGGCTAAAAATACTTAATAATGATATTAATTTCAAATAAAAAATTATATTTTATAATATTAAATGATATTATAAATATAATATTTTTTTATAAAACTTAATATTTTATTCAAATCTTATCTGGACACATTGAAGGGAGAGAGAAAGAAAAAACATAAGTGGAAAGTTACCTCAAAAATGGCAGCTAGCTTTAGCTAAAAAGAGATAGCTTGGACATAAAATTAGGGGAGATTGTTGGGATGGTTTAGAGATGAAATTTAAACACACGCTAATTCATATTTCCAGAATTGAAGTCAATTTTGTAAAAAATTAAAAGTCAAAATTTAGATTTTCAATCTAAAATTTTGACTATCCTTTATTCATGAACTAGGGCCTTTCTTTAATTGCCAGCCAACATCTTTCAATATTCGAATGACAATATGGTTTTTTTAGGACGTATAATAATAGTAATTTATATAATAGTAAATAGTTTCTATTTTACTTAAATTTCTTTTTAACTTTTTAAAATGTAAACTGCATTAAGCTTCATTTTAATAAGTAAAAAAAATATTTTAAAAAATCAACTACATAAATACACTTATATTTCCAATATTAGGATTATAGACCGTAAAAATAGTAAATTATGAATTACTTTATTTCATTTGTTTACAAAGAATAACATTATTATCATTCTTCAGTAGATGACTATTGTATGACATGATAATATACCCTTTTTCTTTTAATATTTGATTATTCTAAAAGTTGGGACAATCTTCTTCAATCTTTTTATACGCCCAACTCAGCATGGTAAAAGAATTAATGAAACTAATTGTCCTTCTTTTACTGAAATTATGCCACCAAAGTGGTTGGGTTCTTTTACATTCGATATCCCATGCATCCATAACATCTTTTCGAAAAGTCTTTAACGACCTACATTAATTTTGTTTGGTCTGCTAAAATTGTTTATAATTGTTTGGAAATATCTCCACAAACCAGTCCAATAAATATGGCTGAATTAGTGGGTCAAAGAACAAAGAAAAATGTTTTAAAAAATGAAGCAAATACAAAGCAAGATGCATCTCAAGAACCAAAAGATTAATGAGACAAAATAGAAGAAGCAAGATGCACACACCAAGCTCACACACATCCTGTTGTCAATCCCTAACGCTACACGATTCAATGTAATTTTTTTTGTTTTAATTTTGGTTGCATAATTAGAGGTAATCATTTTTCATCTTTTATCTTACTTCATCTACATGTCATGCAATTCGAACTCGTGATTTCTTACTTTCAACAAAAAGATATTATCACTAAATTAGTTAGGTCGTTGATCAGTGTAAATTTATTTTGATTGAAAGTAGAAGCATTAAATTCAAGTTATATCACTAAATTTCATGTAGGCATAGTTTTTTAAAATTGAAATTTCTCTTGGTATGCATATAATGTATGATAATATATTGAAAAACAGTTATTTTTTTTATTTATATTATTCTCTGTATTTAAGAATGGTAGATTTAGTTAGATTTTCTTGGCTTTTAAAATAAAAAATTTAACTAAAAATTTAACTTAGCATGTGAATGTCAATTAAAATTTTTTTCTCAATATATATAGTATTTTTTTAGTAATTTTATTTTTAATAAAAAATTTTCAATTACCATTTATATACTAGTAAAAATTTCGCCCAAACTTTAGAAAAAAAAAATCAAAAAGTCAAATGAAGAGGTGTTTGTTTTGGTATTTTATAAATAGTTATCAATTGTTGACTATAATTAAACAGATTATATATTTTATATTATAAATAATAATAATGATTAATCATTAAGTATCAATTAATAACTATCAATTATATTTAAACAGTTAATTTAAACACCTCTTATTAAATGGAGGAGTTATAGTTAGGGGTAACACAAACCCCAATTCTTAACTTTGTCTTCTTAACTGTCGTGACATTAAAAATTTGTTTGTGTTACATGTTTAAATATAATTAATAGTAACAATCTTGTCTTACGATTCAATAATTATAAGTTGAATTGTAAAGTATATTTTTCAACTTAACGGTTGAAATTTGAACTCCTCCTCCTTAAATGTAAACCTATTTTAAAAAAATACGATTAATAGTAATCAATAAATTATTAATTTAAGTAGAAAAAATTAAATTACTTTTAAATAAATAAAATTTTAAATTTAAATTTTATAAATATAAAAATAAATGCTATCAAAATTTATTTTTTATGAGATGTAATATAATTTAATTTTTAATTAATTAAAATTTAACGTAATTTTTAAATATAAGAAAAATTTAATAAAAAACACAATTAATAGTTGATTCTCAGATTGCGTTGGATGACGCTACAGCGCATACGGGTCGATTCAAACCTCTATTAAGGGTAGATTTTCTCAAATTTGAGGTTAATTTGCAGACTACTAGATTTACTTAAACTTCCACTCCGTACCATTATATTCTCGTATGCAATCATAAAAAATCAAATCCTAAGAATTAGCGGACCATCTCCTCATCCTCTACGCTACAATATCAACCTTTCAACAAAACCACCGAAAAGAATGACCGCCCAACAGGGGAAGTATAGTAGTAAAATACAGTCAACAAACTTCTGTAATCTTATCTTATAAAATGTTCGTTGCAACCTCCACCCCTTGATGCGGCCTCTTCTCATTTGTACTCTACCTTTGTTTTTGGAAAAATAAAAAAATAAAAAGTTTATAAATATTCCTTTTCTCTTTTTCTGTGTGCTATCTCTTGCGGCTGCCCCAAGTCTCCCAAAAAAAAAAACCAGGTGCTCCAATGGCTATAATAAAATCCTTTTTCTCCTCTTCTTCAGCAACTTCTCCCCTGAAAAGATCCAAAATTTCTTAAAACCCCAGCAAAATCTCCTAGTTTTAGGGTACAGCATCTGATGGAATCCTTTTTAATCAGCATATCCTCTGTTCTTTCATGGATTCCATTACATAGGTGTAAATGTTGAAGGGGTGAAAATCAGGGGGGCGATATATAGTTGAAGAGAAAGAGAAAGAGAAAGAGAGGAGAGATTATGGAGGAGAGGCATATTTTGTTTGGGAAATATGAGATGGGGAGGTTTCTGGGGAAAGGGACTTTTGCCAAAGTGTACTATGGGAAGCATATGGTTTCCGGCGAGAGCGTGGCAATTAAGGTTATCAGCAAAGATCAGGTGAAGAAAGAAGGGATGATGGAGCAGATCAAGCGGGAGATCTCCGTCATGCGCCTTGTCCGTCACCCCAACATCGTGGAGCTCAAGGAGGTGTTAGCGACCAAGACTAAGATCTTCTTTATTATGGAGTATGTTCGTGGTGGGGAGTTGTTCGGGAAAGTGGCCAAGGGGAAGCTGAAGGAGGATCTTGCTCGGAAGTATTTTCAGCAGTTGATAAGTGCGGTGGATTTTTGTCACAGTCGGGGGGTTTTCCACCGGGATTTGAAGCCGGAGAACTTGCTATTGGACGAAAATGAAGATCTGAAAATCTCTGATTTTGGGTTATCCGCTTTGCCGGAGCAGCTCCGGTATGATGGGCTCCTGCACACTCAGTGTGGAACTCCAGCGTATGTCGCTCCGGAGGTTTTGAGGAAAAAGGGGTACGATGGATCCAAGGCGGACATTTGGTCTTGTGGGGTGATTCTATATGTGCTTCTCGCCGGATTTCTGCCGTTTCAGGACGAGAATCTGATGAATATGTACCGGAAAGTTTTCAAGGCCGAATTTGAGTACCCACCATGGTTTTCAACGGAATCAAAGCGATTGATTTCCAAACTTCTGGTCGCAGACCCACAAAGAAGAATCACAATCTCGGCAATAATGCGAGTTCCTTGGTTTAGTAAAGGGTTCACCCGTCCGGAGGCATTTTCAATGGAAGAACCGGTGCCGGAGATTGCAGAGGAGGACGACTCTGTTCCCAAAACCCACAAATCCTCCTCGCCAAAATTCTTCAACGCCTTTGAATTCATTTCCTCGATGTCATCAGGATTCGATCTCTCGAGTCTGTTCGAAACAAAAAGGAAATCGGGGTCGATGTTCACTTCCCGATGCTCGGCAAGCGCTATAATGGCGAAAATCGAAGGGGTCGCGAAAGGTTTGAACTTTAAGGTTGGGAACGTGAAGGATTTCAAGATGAGGTTACAGGGGACATCGGAGGGGAGAAAAGGGCGGCTATCGGTGACGGCGGAGGTGTTCGAGGTAGCGCCAGAGGTTGCGGTGGTGGAATTCTCTAAGTCCTCCGGCGACACCTTGGAGTATATCAAGTTCTGCGAGGAAGATGTTCGGCCGGCATTGAAAGATATTGTGTGGACATGGCAAGGCGACGGTTTCAAGAACTGTAGCAACGGTAAAGTTGAAGAAGACTGTGAAAAACAGCGCGACTACCCCTAGTCTGGCCTTCTTAACTTGATTTTCCTTTCCTCTTATATTTTTGAAAAATATAAGTTTGAGAGCAAAGATTTTGTAAATATTTCAGTTTAGTACATTATTGGATGGGCTTTGGATTTTGGCATTTAATTTTTTGTTATATTTGATGGGTTGTGACTTGTATAACGTGAAATATTTCTTTCTTTCTACCATTTGGCTTTCTTAACATGAAACATTTTTTTGAAAATATAGGTTTGAGTACTCTCGTACTCATTATTAATAAAATTTATTTTGCCTTTCAAAAATGTTTTTAAAATAAATTTTGGTTTCTTAACATGGAATATTTTATTTAAAAAATTATGTTTGAATATCCTCCTCACTCATTATTAATGAAATTTATTTTGTCTTCAAAAAGAGAATAATGTTTTTCTGGTTCGGACTATTAAAATGTCTTTAAACCAATTATTAAATTTTTCAAGACTAATTTATTTCTAAACAATTTTATCAATAAATCTAAGTCTTGGGATTTTGCATGAAATATTTCTCCCCTTGTCATACAAAGGTGGGTTTGAATTTTTAACCTAATGAAGGTTTTAGACAACCCCAAATAATTAGCTAAAGGGATTAGCATGTAATGTAACCCAATGAATGAGTCGATTGGTGTCATACAAGGTGTTTGTAGGACTTAATTAGGTCATATTTTATAAAATCTTGCACATAGTAGAGTATATCCAACATTCGAAAGTTCAAGATTAAGTGACTCATTATCTCCTTATTACAGCTTTTTCCCAGTAATTGACAATTAGAAAGCAAAACATCATTATCGACCATGTTAGTCCCATGTAAACAGGGAGATAAGACCATTTTAACTCTATTTAATAATTTCGAGAGATGTTTACTTATTTGCTTGCTCCAATCAAGTTAAGATGTATTTGTTCTCTCCCAAAATTTATGGGTTTGTTGCTTTGCTGGTGAGGAAAGAAAAATAATTAGACCACGATTGTTTGAAAAATGGAACAACTGCAATTGATGCTGGCGAATGTCGATTGATCTGCGTTATGTTATCAGGTGTGGTTATGATTACATGTTATAATATTAAAGTTATATAATATTAATTTTAAAAAATATTAATTTAGTTTAATTTAATTATAAAAATAATTGATAATTAATAATTAATAAAATAATTAATATTTATTATTTAATAAATTTTAATTTAAAATTGATATTTTTAGATATCATAATTAATTGTTTTAAAAAATTATAAATTAATAAAATATTAATTATATTAAACATATATATATATAGAATCAACAAAATAAAGTGTAGCCATGCATCGCTACATCCAATGTTATCTATCTAGAAATTACGTCCCATGTCACTTCATTTTCCAAAGTAGGCATTGGGAATTAATCTATTCTTTTACACTTCGTTGTTATCTGTTGATATCCAATATTTTATGAAACAAAGAGGAGCCTTAATTAACTTTCTTTTAGCTGTGGTGACATTTTTTGTGGCTATGGTCGGCTATGGATGGTAATGACGACACCAAATAAATGTAATTTAATGGTTTAACCAATATCAGATTCTGAGGATAACCATCTTGGATTCCTATATCACGTCATACCAAACTTAATGCTAGTTTATTCTTCCCAAGATTTGACTAAGGGCTCGTAATATTTAAATATGCAATATTAGTAGTTAATTATAGTAAGTTTAACTTTGGGATAAAGATCTGCTTAATAATTAATTAACAGGTGAAACTGAGGAACTTTTAAGAAAAATTAAATTATGATTAGTAAAAGTCTCATCCAGTTAATATTTACTACTAACTTATAAATTTTGATTTAAAATTAAGATTTGTACTTAAATTTTTGTAAAATTAAATAATTAAGAAATTTTTTATTATGTGTTTTTAAGGTATATGTTAAAAATGTAATAAATATATTTTTTTATAATTAATTTATATTAAAAAATAAAAATTAACTAATTAAAATTGTTCACTTTGTATTATCACTAAAATAAAAGTTAACTTTTTGTTATTTTTTATATAAATTAATTATAGAAAATACATTTATTACATTTTAACTTGTATTTTTAAGATAAAAATTAGACAAATCCAATAATTAATTGCTACATGTATCGTTAAAAAAAAAAAAGTTTTTGACAAATCAGGTTTGGGAAATGTAGCTTTCATTTTCAGGTAGTTGCCTGCATTGCTTGAACGTGGATTGTGCGTGTGGCAGATACTTGTAGAACAGGAGGTAGGCTCTCCTTCCAATTGCCATTGTTAGGTACAACTACAAGGATTATAGATTCAATTCCTAACTAAAATGCTAATTATATAATTAATTTTTTTTCATATATTAAAATTATTTACAT